CACTTCACATTATTTGTTTTTTGTAGGATTGGGATGGACTGGGTCACCTACTGAAATACAAGCAGTTAACATTTCATTTGAACAGCAGTGAACATGACCAAACAGATGGGCAAACGGCGAGGTCCATTCTGGGAGTTTATTTATAGAACTCAATAGAACTGTCGACTTCGTTACTCCCGGACCGCTCATCAGAGCGCTTCGGGGGTATAAATTAGCTAGAAACACAATTGGTTAGATTGATCATTTTGTTGACGTGTCCCTTTAAAATGCTGGGGAACAGAGGAATCTGGTGTTCTAATAACCTCGCTTAAACCACCGTCACAGTGTTTTATGTCAGCTAAACACGCGACACAAGTGTTTTTCGCATTGAAACTAGCATATTTACAAGTTAATAAGGGACTGTTTAGTAAAACCTAAAAGGCATTCTTTCGACCACAATTTGAATACACCGTATAGGCCTGGTGTCCGTGATTCAAGGAGGATTGCTAACTTCTGGAATGAACGCAGACGAGAGCTACGAAGATAATAGGGAATCTTGGTCACCTGTCTTATGAAGCCAAGTTGGCCGACCTTAATTTGTTTCCGCTCAATTACAAGCGACTACACGGTGACGCCATTTAAACTTCCTGTCTTGTTGAAAGTTAGTAGTAAGCTCAAGGGTTTGATGACTTCCTCAGATTGGCTGGAACAGACTATTTCCGTGGCCATCCGATTAAATTGCAAAAGCAGTTGGACCACACGTCCATCCGACGGAACACCTCGCAGGTGGTCGTTTGGAGCCTGCTGCGGTGGTGCTTTGGACGCCGTTGAAGTTTCGAAATAAAGTTTAGATACCCTTTTGCTGAAAAAATATCGTACATATAATCAAGATTTATCCGTGGCGACAGTTTGCGTTTGGTTCACTGAGACCGATGACTATACACTCCCATAATTTATGACATAAAAATGAATGTTACTGCTTTTTGGATATGAAAAAGTAGCTCAAGGACGGAAGCCTTATTCCCTAGATAAAGTGACTTATGTGCCTTAATCACGGGTCCTTTAGCCTACATGTTTGACAAGTTAAACTAAGGAAGCAACTAGAATTAACTGCATCATCAACCTGCCAGGGATAGATCTCAACGATTGCATTAGGTTTTGGGATATATAATAATTTAAGACTACGCCTACTACCCAGCTGCTTTCCGAAAAAAGGTTGTCTAGGCTTCGTAGATGCTCAGAAGCCCTAACTGCACGTAGAGGCCAGAAGTCAGCTGAAAACCGTGTCTAAACCCGACGTCAAATAACGAACTAGATCAGCTTCTGACCTAAAATCTATCACTTTTCTAGCCCATCAATGCTTAACCAATATTTACAGACACTTGTGAAGACTTGAATTCAAGTTTTTGACTCGTAGGCTTTTCTGTCAAGCTGTAAGACAAAACCCCTGTATGCAGTATTCCTGACTTCCCGGCCTCTCGCAGAATACTGCTCATCGGTATGACCCCATGCCACGCGAAGGTCACGAAAGTTGTCTGAAAGTCCACAATCGAGCAATTAATTTTTTCGTTCCAGTGGGAATAATGCACCGAGGCGGAGGGTTATAGAAACTCTGACGTTGCGCTCCACAGTTTGATTATCTGCTTGCTAAATAAAAAGTCCCACTGATTTAGGCGCATGCTCGCGGTAGAGTTTAATCCCGCCCTGATAGTCGCCGGTAGCTTGTGTCTGAAAGCAGAAATGGGTCTTCAGGCTTGACTAAACCTCCCTACGCACAAAGATTACAAAACATCCATAAGAGGGTAAAGATCGCCTACCAGTTTTGTCGCCTGTAGATGGATCTACCCAAAAGCTTTATCGCGTGTTTCCGTGCTGGTGCTTCACGTTCAAAATATGATCCTATGAGCCCATCACAGCCCTGTGTGAGGTCGGAAGACAGTCAAATATCACTCACTTAATTTCTTGACGCTGTTTGCCTTTCAGACCAGTCTTTTACGTTCCTATGAATATATTGGGTTTTCAGCCATTCAGAGGCCTGAATCTTTGTGCGTATCTTTTTTTTGATGGAGTGCAGTTCCTGTAATACCGATGTTTTGGCAATGTATGTGACCATCTTCCAAATGCAAGAACATATTCGGGTGAACTGAAAGGCGGAAGCGACTTAAAATGCAAGCAGTTAGTTTATCAACGTTTCCTTGTAGTTTCTTCTCGTCCTCCGCACATGTGATCGATGCCGGATTGTTTTTCCTCAGCAGACATTTAGATCTTACAATAAAAATTTCTGGCGAAATCTTTGTCATTAATAAGGGGGAGAAGAGGACTTTATATCGAACCTTGTGGGACATTGCTTTTAGTAGGCAGACATCCGGATGTTATAGGACCAACACCATTACTTTGTAGCCTGGGTGACGGGTTATTTTGATTCATTTAGGAAT